TTTATCCTAACTACAATCGTCTTTTGTTTTTTCTATTGAAATTTCAGTTTTTTTACATGATTTCAACATGTTTTAGTAATAATAATTGTTGGACCTTTGATTTTTATTGTAATTTAGTTACGTGTGATTTCAACACTGATATGGGATATTATACCTCAATAGGTAAATCGGTCCAACGAATGGTTTAAATAAAGCCGAACGTAAATAAGACTAAGTCGGTCGAAAAGGATTATCTCAAGGCCGAGAGGATAAGAATCTCGATACATGGGACCACCTAAAGGACAGAGAAAGTCTGGTCGATTGGAGGAGAGATCGAGTGAAGAGTTGTTCAGATGGTCGATATAAGAGTTAGAGGCACCTAGTGGTCGAGCACCCAGCACGGGAAGAAGGATATGAGAGATTGACTTCGATAAGATCAACTAGGGGAGTCTCTAACGGAATTGTTAGAGTGACGTCAGGAGAACTAAGGGGGGAATATTTTACCCATGTGCAGAGGACACGTGGCGCGGAGGTATTGGTGCAGAGGATAGTGGTGTCGGCTCTCTGACACACGCACACTGTGTGTACGGACGGGCAAACTCGGGGAGCCAACTAAACAGATCCGGGCAGCTCTTATGGCAGGTATATCACCCCTATATATATGGGGTGAGCCTTTCTTGTTGCACACGATCATTCTATTACTTCCTCTTAAGAATTAATTGAATTCATACTGACATAAGCATTAGAGGCTCTTCACCGGAAAACCCCTCTGGTGTGAGAGTTCTTTATAGGTGTGCGGGTCGTGGCTGCCATGCACGTTTCACGAATGGGTTTATAGCAATTCGCTAATCCAATCACCAGAAAGAGCGAAGATGAGAAGAAAATAGAAAAGAAGACTCCCAACCACCCCGGAAGGAAAGAAGAATAAGATTTCGAACGTCCTGTGGAACGACGTTCAACTGGCGGGAAGGAAGGCGATTACTCAGATTCCATCTGGTCGGAGAGTTTTGTGTTACCATTTTCACCATTAGGGGCGGAGCTGTTGGGATCAATGAAGATCTCGTTATGCACAAATCACGAATTCAATAGCAAAACGTAAATCTATGCGCAACGGATCTTAAGGTTTGCGTAGAGAACTTACAGCTTAAAATTTATGGCGATCTGGCTGATCTTCTGGATGGTTGTACACAGCACACCAATGAATTGTTGACTGCAAATCGCGTCCTAGGATTGCACGAACAAGATCGGATCGAAAATCAGATCAAATGGGTGCAAAACAGATGAAAACAAGCTTGCAGTCCTGGGACACTCCGGAGGCGCGTGAGGGCGCGTGCGGCGTCGTACGGCAACGTTGGAAAGCTCTCGCCGAGATGGTCGTCTGGGTATGTTGCACGTCTTGATCGGACCTCCGGTTAGTTCTGTACGGCAAAATATATTTCGTCTCACTTTTACCCAAAGATCTTCTACTGTATATCTCAAGCACCTCTTAATCTTGTACTAGTGGAACAAGAAGAAGAAGATAAAGCTCGAATGGGAACTGAGAGAGAGAAGAGATGCGTGGGGCATGTTTCACAAGATGTGCAATTCTCTTCTCTTCCCATGAGCTTAATGATGTATATATAGAGCTACAGTAGGGATCCTTAGGAGATTAGGATTAGGGCTCCTTAACTAATTAAAATACTTGTGGACCAAACCACTTATTTTAATTAATTAAATAATATTAAATGGGCCAACATAATATTATTGCACTCTCTTTTCCTAGCCCAATTTACAATTGAGACTCCAATAATAATTACTCGATTTATCTTCCTATGTTTAAAATATAATGTCCATTAATTAATTTGATTATTGACAATCAAGAATTAATTAATATATTATTATTTCACCGAAGCTAGCGCTCGTTCATCACATTATTACTATGTTGGAATTTAATCCACCTGCAGAGTTTAGCATAATAATCCTTCATGAACTCACTCCGGGGACATAATCAAACTAACGCACATGGTGACCGTAAATATCATAACAGCACATCCTACATGTAGCAATATTATCCAAGACAGCGGGTCTATTGGCCCAATTCACTAAGCCTCACCCATGTGAATCAAAGTAATAAATACTACACATATATGTCTGTTTAATATATTATGGGTTAAGAGTACGCAGTAATTAACCGAGGCCTAGTTCGTTTACGACGATCAGTATAAAATGAACTGCTCCTCTATGGGATTCTGTTCAATACATAAATGTACTAGTGCAACTAATCAGTCAAGACAAACTGTACAGTTGACACTACAACCGTTCACGATGGGGTGTTCATGTCCATCTGGGTTATGAACCACTTATTTTTGTTTCGCGAGTAACTGATAGCATGATCTTCGGTTCGCTCGATGACGACCCACACTATCTAATGCAAAACAACAGAACGTAGAACTTGTTTAATCTAACATATTTCTCATTCATAAAGGATAAAAGTGTAATATCATACAAAGTCAAGCTTTCAGTATATAACACTAACATGAGCCACCCCAAAAGCTGGGGTGGGTTCCAGCCCAGGTCAGTTTAGGAAAAGAAAAAAGAAAAAATGGTTAGGCAAATTAGCCCAGGTAGCCCAATTAGGAAATTTAGCTAGCCCAATTCCAAGTCTTCAATAATTAAATTGCAGTCAAGTACCAATAGCGCTTGGATGAGATGGTTTGGTTCTCTTCCAGCTTAACCAGTGGTCTCGTGTTCGAGTCCTGGGAATGCAGCAGTGTTAAAAACTCTTGAGGGAGAGATTTGCCGCCCTTGTGGTCCTACCCGGCTCGATTTCAGATTAGTCGGTTTCCCTGTGGATCCGGAAACCAGAAGGTCCCTGTACCAAAAAAAAATAAAAATTGCAGTCCAAGTCCAAATATCAAACAATCACACCAATAATATCAAAATCTTCTGAAAATGAGCTTGTAACTTGTTCGAACTTGAAGAATTGAGAATCTGAGAACATGTATTTTCCCTAAATATCAACGCGAGCAGATCTTCATTCTTTCTTACCTGGGCTAACCTCTCGTTGTCTTCCGTCCGTCAGCTCGTCTGGAGTCCGCCCGAGAACCTGCTCCAAACAGAGGATCGAACAAAGAAAGAGGCTTTTCCCCTCAATTTCAACCGCGATTAGCCCTTCCACCTCGTTGTCGTGCGTTCGACCCGCTCGTCCGACGTCTGCTCGAGCAACTCCGGTGGTCTTCTTCTCCTTCTCTTGCCTAATTGTTTTTTTTTTTTTCAGAAATACTTTATTTCCTAATTCCTATTTATAATTAATTAGGAAAACTGGAGAAGAATACAAATATGATTCAATGAAGTGAACAAGCATTTTTCAAAGTGAAATTTAGAATTTTGAAAACATGAGAAAAATGAAATTAGGAAGTCTGAGAGCGTGAGAACCATGAAGAAGCAAATAGCAATTGTAAGATTTTGTTTATTTTATTATTTTTTGTTTATTTTTTGTTTATGAATTGTTGGTTGAGGATTTGTAGGGGATGTTTGAGGAAATTTGAGGATTTTATTATTTGAGGCATGAGTTGTTTTTGTTTTTTTTTTTTT